CCTGCTGCTCCCAATTACAGCTCCTTACTGAGGATATTGGAGAGTGACCCCAAACAACTAATTTTTCTTTAAAAAATCATCGCCAGCTGATTCTTGCACACACCAGGTTTGAAAAGCTCCAATGTGGTGCATTGGATGGAATTGTACACCGAACTAAAATTTAAATTATGCTAACAATTGTTTTCTGTAAAACATTCCCACGTTTTCAAAGGAGGCTCTCCTTTTGACTTGCTTCAATTTATGCATGATTTGGGGCTTTTTTTTCTTTTCCTCTTATGTCACTTAATTTCCAGTGTCATAGAAGAAAAAGGAGAAAATGGAGTTCAAGCATTGTTACATTTGTAATCTGTGCAGTCGCTAACAGGCCTACAGAAGGGATAAGGGAGTGACATGAAATTATTCTAAGGGAATATTTTGACCTTATAGTTCTTTTGTTAGAATCGTATTAAACATCTTCAAGTCTGTCGTGTAATGTAAAGCATTCCTTATGTTGTATGATTAAATATTTCATTCACTTGGTTTTGTTCTAGGGAGTCTTATTTTTCCTTCCTCTGACAATTTCTTATGGATGTGTTCTAATATCTTGCATTGGACCCCGCCTTTCTTAGCTTTACCTCTGGATATAATGATGTTAGAAGCTAAATTCTGTTTTGGTGTAAAATAAGTGTTATTTTATTCAACTAATGAACACAGTTAATCTGCTGCAGATGGTCACTATAAATAATGAGTCAAGCCTTTTACCGGGCTTAAAATCACACACCGTTTGCCTCAAAGTTTGACACTTCATTCTCTAACTCTGCTTTCAAGAATTTTTCTCACCCTTGCCTGAAATCTTGTGGCTGCTGTCTCTCTCGATTCAGCATTAATTTCCTTTGTTTGCAACAGGACGACGAAGCTGGAATCGGACGTTCCTCGGAGACTTCAAGCTCTGACATCTCCTTCCTTCCTTTTATTCGATTAGAGTTGCATGAGGATGATAATGATGACTTGGAGAAAGAAGGAATTTCTTGGAGTTAGCAGGAATTCTGCAGGGAGCCTGAGCCAGCCTTGTCTGTAAGACAGATTCACTGGCCTCCTCCCTACCCTTTCGGCCAAGGCTCTTTTCTGTCCCGGAATGATCACAAAGCCGGCCGAGCCCTGTCCCAAGTTGTGTGGATGGGGGTACCAGGCGCATGGCAATTCCAATGAGCGGTCTAATTTTATCTTGGCTTCTGGCCAGAGGGCTTCATGTCACAGCACATTTCAAACACCAAAGCGAATGGTCAAGTATGTTACTGTGGACTCATCTTGGCCTGCCCCAGAGGTTATGGTCAATTACATTCGAGGGTCGTTTTCAAGCAAGACAGAATCAGGAATTGGAAAGGAGGTTGGAACTAAACATGCGTTTTTATCCCAACTGGGAAATGCTTATCAAAATAGTTTTAGTTATCAAGTAAGCACAAAGTGCCTGGAAATGACGTTCCCAAAGAGGGGAAATGGCCCAGCTGTGCTTTTTTTGGCTTTCTCTCATCCGCTCAACAGGAAAAATATTAATCAATGGAAAAATGCTCCCCGTCTGTTAATTTAACGTGTGAGCTTTAGATAGTGTGGGAAATAGTAATACTTAATGTTTTTAGATCACAGTTTTATTACATGGATCGCAAAGAACTTTTTAGAAAATGGTTTCTACTTAAAGCCACGTATTTGTGCCTACAGAGATGTTTTATTTTCTTGACGGCACAGCTGAAACACTGAGATCAAGTTCCAGGATTTCTTACGATCTTACAGTAATCGCGTGTAATAGTCAAGGGAAGAGGTCCGATAACCCTCTGTAACTTAGGCAACAACTTTTTTCCCCATCAACAGGGAAGCAATTCGCAATTCAGTGCTTCCTCGCAAACCAAATTAGCAACACTTCTCCAAAGACGTAAAGAATGTCTAAGACAAGAGTCCCATAACTGGGATTTCCATATTTTGATATCTCTCTATGCCTACTTTTTGAAATTTGATCGAAGGACAGCTTACATACAACAAAATGCACACATCGGAAGGCTCCAGCCCGATGCATTTTCACTAAGCGAGCCCACCTGTGTAACCACCTCCATGCTTTTGTTCAAGGTGATGAGGCTTCGCAAGCTGGCTCAGCAGATTGCCAACTGCAAACAGTGCATTGAGCGGTCGGCATCACTCATCTCCCAAGCGGAACACTCTCTGAAGGAGAATGATCATGCACGGTTCCTGCAGACTGCTAAGAATATCACCGAGAGGTGAGTGCGGGGACTGCTGGGAAGTTCTCAGCTGCTGGGCTTCTGCGTCTGCGGTGTGATTGGTTGGCCTTGCCCTCGCCTTGCTTTTGTTTTCATTTTCAAGGCCGAGTACCGGAGAGAATAGACGCTTTGATTTGCTTTGTTCCAGCTAAAGATGCTTCCCTTTGACATGTCAGAGCCTTTTCAGTAGCAGCCTGGAGTTCAAGGCCTTTGAAACAAGAGTCCGCCAGTTAGAAAGAATAAAATCGGGCTGCTTTTAGGGGAGAAAAGCTACGATGGCACAAAAATGGCATGTATTGTGACTTTCAGAACTTGATCTTATCATACACTTGATAGCAAAGAATCAAAAAGAAGGCAGAAACATAAAAGAGAATCTTTTCTTCCATCTCAGGGCTCAGCTACTAAAGAAAAATGGCCCAGGTGTTGTTTTCTTTTAGACCTGTTTTTATTTGGTTGAGAAGCTTCGCCTTTCTTGAAAAGGTCAAGGCCAATTCACATGAGAGAGAAAGGACCAAACTGTCAACCTCATGCCTCCTTCTTTCAAAATACCCTTTATTCTAGGGTAGGGAATATAAAAATGACGTTATTTCGAATGGTCAGTTCAGCATTAAAACTGGCGGGGTCAGCACCCCTTCAGTACCTGTACTTGATTGGCACACAAATTACTGGCCATCGCCGAAACAAACACCTATAGCAATTTCAGCGGGGCCAAAGATAAGCACCTAATACCACCTAAATGACATTTCTGATCAATGCCAATGGCCTTGACTTTTTATTCATTCTAATTTTCAGAGTTAGCTGCCCCTTATCCAAAGCAATAATAGAATCCTATCACTAGAAGACCGCAAACAGCTCATTCATGCTGGTCTTTCTCCTAGAGCAGGGGTTTGCCTTTTTTTTTTTTTTTCCTGTAAAGGACCAGAGAGTAAATATTTTCAGCTTTGCGGATTATAAGGTCTTGATCACAACTATGCAATTCTGCTATTGTAGCTCTACAACAGCCTATATAGATAATACAGAGACAAATGGACATGGCTGTGTTCCAATGAAACCATTTACAAAAACAGGCAGCAGGCCAGATTTGGCCTGTGGGCTGTACTTTGCCAAACCCTGGCCTAGGAAAAAAAAATACTCACCATCTTAGGACTTGAACTTCTTCAAGAAAGAAGAAAGAAAACTAATATTTATCAAATGCTTGCTTGTGTTGGACTCACTCTCAAAATATCGCATAGAGGTTGGCATCGATATTTTCATTTTTACTGTTCTTTCAATGAGAGTAGTACACAGTATTTTTACAGCTCTGGTCTAGTATCCAACCAGCTTCATTGTGTTATTTCTCAATATTTGAAAAAATTTCCTTCTACAACTGGTTAGATACTTTTCCAAAGCACATGCATGAGAGCTGATTATCATCCCTTTTCTATCCTTAAAACAATCTCCCCCTTCTCTAAAGGAAGCCAGTTTCTTTCCTTCTGACTCCCGAGTTCCAAATGTTTAACTGTCTTCACTGCTCTCATCTGGACTATATCCAGTTGCTTTATAGTCATCAGAAAGTTAAAACTCCAAACAGCACTAATACTCCAATATACCGAGGACGTTCTACTAGACAGTGTTTACACTTACATCATGATTTTCAACTGGGATCCAAGAGTGCTTTTCTCCAGCTATAAATCGTGAGATGTCCAGATGCAGTAGCTACTGTGAGCTGCATTTCTCAGCAATCCCTAAAAATTTGATCAATTATAACATGAAAAAATCCTCACTTAGCGAGGGGAGATAATGTGGCCCCATAACAGTTAAGGTAGAACATTCTGAAAGAAGACCTGTATTTGAAGCATAACATAAGCGCATGAATGCCTACATACGATCTACATCAGATACAGCTGGTCATATCTGGTCCCATTCACCCCAACCTATAACAAGCCTGTCTCATCAAGAATGGAAACATGACCAATCTCCCTTTCTATAAATGAATTATATTATATACTATATTCTCAAGCCTCACTAATGTATAGTTCTTGGTGTAACAGTATGCACACTTTTAGAAAATGATGTTTAAATAAGCAAAACTATCCACTAAATCCAGGCATAAGAAAGTTGGCCTACTGCTTATGAGAATTCTAAATTGCCGTCAAGTTTGACTACGCAGTGCCTGTAAAAATTTGCTAGAGGTCTTTGTCCCACTGTTTCTGCATCCCCCTCCCTCTCTCCATCTCTATTTGTCAGTCCTCTTGGTTGATCCCCGAGCCTTTCTGTTTTTCCAGCAACCGGAATGCGAAAAAGGACTCTGGGCTGGAACTAAAAGTTGGGAAACCTGGGTCCACATCCCAGCACTGCCACTTTTTAACTGTGACTCTTTGGATTTATTCATAAGCTATTGTCTCCTTAAAAAATTTGGCTCATAATAGCTACCTCTATCAGTAGTTGTGATAACATCGCCGACAACTCCTAAGAATGTGCCTTAAGCGTCATAGGTATTCAATAACGTTCATGGGATTTATGTTTGCATCTTGCAGGATGTCAGTATGATCCTTCCTTGTATATCTATACCAATGTTGGTCTCCATCTACCTTTCTCTATTCTTCAGCTCTTCACATTCTTCTCTACAGCGTGACTTCATGATTCTCTGCCTCCTACTGTGTCTGCCTTGGGCTTTGCCACCTGTGTACGCTAAACCATTTTTTATTCTTCTCTTCAAGGGTGGAAAGCCCACAACAAACTTTAAATGCTGCAGGCCTTCCTAAAGAGAGACTTGGATGTGATTTTTTCTCCTGCTTCATTAAATCACTTAAAGTAGATATGTTCACCTACAAGCTGAATCAAGCTGCAAAAAGTTGTTCAATTCAGAAACATCAAAAAAAAAAAAAAAAGAGAGAGGAACTCAAACTTTACATGGTAGGAATGCATATGCTTTGGAATCGAGCGTTTGGCTCTGTGCTATTGCTTAGTAGTAATTATGGATAGCCTTGGGACTGCTCCTTAACACTCATGAGTCTACTTCTGTTCATAGCTCCCAGCAAGAAGGATTCATACCATCTTGTTTTTACCATTGTAGTCCCAGCACATAGTGACATGAATGACATGAATGAATGAGCGAAGGAATCTATAAAACAGGGCCAATTATTCCTACCTAAAATAACATGGTCGTTTTAGGGATAAAATGAAATAATATAGTAAAAATATTAGCCCAGTTCCTGTCTCAAGGTGAACACGCAACAAATGCTAATTTTCTTCTTTTTCACTCACTAAATGGATGCAGATGGATTGTATCATATACTGTAGTCTCAAGCCACACTAATATATAGGTCTTTGGTATGATTGTCTATGCAGCTTTATAAAATTACATTAAATAAACAGAGCTCTTCACTAAATCCAAGCATAAGGAAGTTGGTTTAGTACTTATGAGAAATATAAAATTAAAGTCACTTTTAGTAGCAAATTATCTGTGTCAAGAAGATGGTAAAAAGAAAATTCCCTCTGAACAGGCAGTTCAAGGAGCCATCCGACTTTCCAAGACTACAAAGCCAAGAACTTCAGTTTTCAGCACTGGAAAGATATCACTTGATTACAAGAATTAGAGCACATCTGATGAATGGTTTTTGAAGTGTGTTCTGTAGGGTGTTACTTGGTATTAAAACAACAACAAAGTTCCAGAGCCAAATGCACTTGGGAAATCCTGAACTGACCAAAGTAAACCCTGTGTTGTTTTTGTGAGACCTCACCAGGTTTTACCATGGTGACATGCGTTGTAGAGTGCCCGCCTCAGAGAGACCTATTTAAATGCCATTGTCAGGTCAGGCATGGGGGGGGGGGAATATTACGTGGGAAGGGTAGAGCATCTTCCCCTGGCATTGGCTGTTGGGCAGAAACCCTGTGAGCAGTGTGGCTTTAGACACGTCCACGTTCAGGAAAACTGGCCCCGTGTGGCTGCTAGCAACTGAGTGTCATGGAGATTAGGAGCATCAAAGTCGAAGTAGAAATAGGGAGTAACGTGCAGCCCACCCTCTTAAACACCCAGCTGAGACACAATGCCCTTATTTGTCTCAGTATGTTAAGAGCTTAACACACACACCCACAAGCATACGCACACATGTGCACGACATGAGTCTGAAAGCAAAGGATTAAGAAAGTTCCATAGCACTAATGGCCCAGGTGAATTTTGGCAACTTATCTGAAGGGCAAGAAGATGGTCAACAAGGATTTGGGGAATGAAAACATGGCCTAAGATGTTGAATTTGGCAGATCTCCTCTTGCCTGTCACTCCAATTAAGAATTTGAAATTGTAGCCAAAGATAAATATCTTTTCATCAAAAAAATGTGTTGGTGTTAAAAGCTGCAGTAATCTCCAAAGAGTCTTGCTGTCAGTCTTTGGCTCCCAGGCTCAGGAACTTTCATCCTTTTCATTCCTAACCCACAAAGTTCTCACCATCAAAACGTCAGGCACTTGACCAAGGCATGTTTTACTTAATTGTTTATGGACCATCCGACCAGGAGAAACTTGAGAATGAAATCTGTTTTAGATGAACCTAAACAGAGGGATCTGCCAGTGGACAGAGGAAATGCTAAAGCAAAGATCATCTGCTCGGAGCAATTGAAGTCCTCTAACCTGTCAAACACAAGCTCTGTGCCACGCATGCGCGACAAAGACGTGCCATCAAAAGTTAACCGCTTGTTTCAAAATAACTCCTTGCGGTTCTCCTTCCTGGACATCATGAAACGGAATTAATTGGGGTTTCACTTTAAAATTTTTATTTGAAGTGTTCAAATGGCACTGTAGCCATTTCTTTGAACTTTTATGCATTGGTGCAAATATTTTGGACTCTTCAGTACATGGCACACTTTAAGAGGTTAGTTAATATTTGTTGAGATATATCTCTTGGGGTAACCAGGTTGACATTTTTCTAGATCAAATGGAAGAATATAGACCTGGAATAATTCTCCTGGCTGCTACCAGCTAGCTTTGTGGCCTTGTACACATGAGCATCAATGCCCTTAATTAGAAAATGAGTAACTAGATTTAGAGCTAAATTATCTCAGATATGTTTCTTTGCTCAAAAATTCCCAGCACCCTACACACAGTAGGTCCTTGGTGGTGTTTACCGAACTTAACGAAATACCAAAATCCACAAGATGATAAGTCTGCATAGTTCGATATGCTCAGAAGTGGTTTGCATCATGCCACAATTTTCTTGTTTTTAAGAGAACACTTGCATTTTTTAATGACTCCAAATGTTCCGCTATTAATAACTGAACTTTCCAAATCAACTTGAGGGTCCATAGCGGGAGATTGGTACTTAGCAGTACCTTGCTCTATGGTTTATAAATGAAAGCTCTTAACTCGCGATCCTAAATGAAGAGGAGAAACAGTACATCCATTGGGGGAATTTGTGAGAAAGCTCATGAATATTTTCCATGGCATCTGCTGGGAATATGGTAAAAGAAAATGAATACAAGGAGAATGAGAACGAGCCAGACAAAATTTCTTTTTTAATGTTTATTTTAGAAAGAGGCTAGTAATTGATTAAACTAATCCAATATCTGGAAACATTCTTTTTTAATCTTCACTTTGCCTTTTATGCAGTTTGAGATTTTGGAGACTCCTCTTTGAAGTGGAGCAGGGTCGAGTCTGAAAGGAACAAACAGTTTCCCAGACAGATGTGTGAAGAAATGCCTGGAGCTATGTGCCTCTCGCTGGGGTTAGATGTGATGGGGCCAGGCTGTTAAATACACAGCAACATGAAATATGAATATTCTTTTGCCTCCGTGGGGAATTTTTTTCCGATAGTAAAAGGGAAGGGGGAAGCCATTCTGCTGTTTTTTCCAATTCCTTTGCCTTTTCTTTGAGCTTGAATTCATTCGCATCGTGTTGTTGTGTTGTGCCATTCCGAGATTCTTTTAAAGCTTGTGAGTAAAAACCGCACTCTTTTTTTTATGATATTTCTTTTTATTGTTTTCATTCCTATGCAGGTATGGTAACAGCCATCTTGACGTTTCTAAAAAGTTGTTTTGTTTAAAATTACAGAGTCTCCATGGCAACTGCTTCATCCCAGGTCCTAATTCCTGAAATCAACCTCAATGACACATTTGACACCTTTGCCTTAGATTTTTCCCGAGAGAAGAAATTGCTAGAATGTCTGGATTACCTTACAGGTATTGTCTTTTGTGTTTTCTTTGACATTGTATATAGTCAGTGACACAAATACTTTGCCACCAGATCAATTCCCTAAACACCAGAGATGTAGGCTTCTGATTTAGGAATGGGGTCTAATATTCCTGCAAACATTTTCTGGCACTCTTTTTCAACCAAAGCAACACAGTCCAAGACTGAATTGAGGGCACACACACAAAAAAGAGAATCTCTCATTAAAAGCATACTTACTACTATTTCCCTTATTCTCAGAGTGTGCATAACTCAAAGGATAGCTCTGTTGGCCATCAAAGAGATACATAGGGTAGCATTGCTATTTTTCATTTCATGTCAGCAAGGCATCTGACTCTCAATAGCGCCTTGGCAGAATAAAAAATGGCAGCTAACTGATTGGGTATCTATCCTGCTCTAGCTCTTTGTATTTGTGACTTTGTTTAATCTTCACAACATCAAACTGAGGTCAAGTGTTATAGTCTTCATTTTGCAAATGATGAAGGCCATCCGTCTTGCTAGAGGTAAGATAGCTAGGGAGTGGCAGAAGCAGGATTTGGCTTGAGTCCGTACAGACTCCAAAGACCTCTGCCTTTTCTAGTAAAAAGACTGAGTTTCGTCTTGGCAGAGGTCACTATGGCAAACATCCTAAAAATCGCATTTGAATTCCTGGTGCCATGTTTCAATCCTGTGCTTTCTTATAGGCTTTTTGTGCGGGGGCGTGGGGGGGAGTCAAGCTTGAAAAACAAAAGCAACAACAGTAAAATAAAACCTCAGGCTACTCCTATTTCTAACCATGCTTCTAAGTTTTTCTTTGCTGTTAACCTCTAAAGTGGGAACTAAAAACATTAGCTGGTAGCATGTGGACTGTTTAGACGACCTTATTTGTGTTAGCCAAAGCCACTGGCGCTTATGACTTCAGGAAAGCTCCATATATACAGTAAAACCAGATGTGCACTGAACTTAGGACATGTAGCCCTCAAGAGACCACATCCCTTACTGCACACGGCATCAGCTTCTCAACTTTAATTCTATGTGCATGTTTGTGGGAGAGTGGGAGCATGGTGTGATGTTTGTTTTTACAGCCTGTGGATAGAAAGCAAGGAGTTCTACATTCAGGGAGCATTGTACCCAGAAGATCAGTGTTTTTCATTGCAAGGCCCCAAGGTGCTGTTTTTAGCCTTTGTGCATTTACAAGGGAGGCAAGCAAGTCATCCCACAAACTTCCTATCTTATGTCATTCTTCTTTCGAACCATACCATTCCTATTAAAGAAGAAAGAAATCAACTCACAAAGCATTTGTCATAAAGAACCAAACTTAGTTTCAAATATTCATGAATTTACTGCCCTCCTTTTTTAAGCTTTTAACTCTGAGATTTATCTGAACTAACACTATCCACCAGCACTTTCTACGACAATAGAAACATTGCATATCTGTACTATCCAATATGGTAGCTGCTAGCCACATCCAGCTATGGAAAACTTGAAATGTGGCTAGTGAGTTTTTATTTAACCTCAATTCAATGTAATTGAAATTTAAAGGGCCACATGTAGTTTGTGGCTACTGTATTAGACAGTGCAGGTCTAGGGGTTTCTCTGGCCGAGCTGATTTTCGTGATGGCATCCTGTTTAAAAAAAAAAAAAAATCTCCTTTTTTCTTATATCATTTGGGAATGAGCATAGTTGCAACAAAAGAAAATCCAATTAGCAGTGACGAACCCATCAAGGAATATTCATTATCATGAAACAGGAGAACAGAGGCATGTGAACCAGGATCGGGCAGCCGTTCAGTGATGACCTCAGACCCCAGACTCTTTCTCTTTTTCTGCTCTGCCATATTCATTGTGTTGCCTTTTGGACACATGATCACAATGTGGCTGTGCCACTTCCAAACATTATATTCAAGCTATAGACAAAAAGACAGGGGCAGAGGGGGAGATAATGACAGAAAACGCTGTCAGCCAAGTTTGTCTTTGTTTATCTGGAAGAGAAAAGGCTTACTCCGAAGACCCATCCAGCAAACTTTCGCTTGTGTCTTGTGGGCCGGATCCGTGTCACGAAGTCATGCCCAAGTGCAAAAAAAGTCTGAAAAAAATGTTTGGCCGGGCACTTGGCCATTCTGCATAAAATTGGTATCTCATTGACAGGAATATGTCCTCCCCATTTCCCAATAATTATTTAATGCTATTTCAGTGCTGCACACCTATTCTAATCGCTCTTGGAATGCCAAAGTACTGATTAAAAGGGAGATTGTGAAAGTAGTTTGCACTGACTAGTAATGTGAGCACCATATATCATTCCGATGGCTGTTTATGCCAGACTAAAGCCCATATGGGGTACCTGCTATTATGCCTTCTTAGCCGTTAACCTCAAATACAAATTTGGCCCATTTGTAGACATAACATTGATCCCGACCATAACATGGGATGCTTGGCTGATATTGCCAAGTCCAAATAGTTTATCAGACATTTGTAAGCAGGAAATGAAGTGTTGGTGGAGTATTAGGCCACCATTTCTTGCGTCTTATTTAGGATAGAGGCAAGAAAATAACAGCCCTGGTACTCATTCCATGAATATTGAAATTGGCAGCATGCTGCTGTTCTCATTTACAGTAAATCATGTATTGACGTTTTAGGACAAACCCACCGGGTTTATGATCGAAACAGTGTTAGCCTGCCTGGTTGTGAAAACAAGTATTTTCCCCTTCTGACATGCCTCTAAGTGGTATGTCAAGTTAATAACCCAGAGAGGTGACATTTCCTCCACGATTGCAGCTACTGCCATGTATCTCACAGCTGCTTACCTATTTTGAACATGTTTTCCTTATATTTAATCATATATTGCAATGCAGAAAGAACAAAATCTTTCCACAATCTAAATAGCTTAATGAACTATTTAGATTATGGGAGAATAAGTATTTCTCCACCGATCCATGCAGGATGACCCCACACTAACAGAGACCACATGGATAAAAAGCATGTTTTACGATGCAGCTGGGCCTCCCCCACAGAATGCATCTCCTGATTGGTGTCATTGATTCATCCACATCCAAGTCACAGCATATGACACTGAATCTTACATGTGGCTACTTCAGGAGACAGATGTATAAACACATATTCCAGAAAGAACACTCTAAGGGCTCTTTAGAGCCCTTCTGTCATAATACACAACTTAACACAGCGCCTGCCACGTGTAGGTATTCAATAACCAATAGGCAAAGCGAGACTAAGTGACTTTATACAGCAGACATAAAAGTTCCTTACTTTGTATGATACTTGTCCTGAATATGTCTTTAGGTGGCAAAGTGAAGAATACTAAAATAATCAAAGTTTTAAGTTTACCATTTTCATAAACTTTCTCCCCTCTTTGGATTTGTTTAGGACTCATGAATTCTATAGTAGTGTAAGCAAAAGGTGGCCACTAACCTATAGAATGCAGGTATGTTTCTCCTTTCAAAGTTAGGTTCTGGTGTAAAGAGAGTTGAAATAAAGGCCTAGACTGATTCTCTAAACCAGGGGTCAGCAAACTTTGACTGTAAAGGGCCAAATGGTAAATATTTGGGGCTGTGCAGGACATATGGTCACAACTACTCAACTCTGCTGTTGCACAAAAGCAGCCGTAGTCAATATGTAAATGAATGAGCCTGGCTGTGTTCCAATAAAACTTTATTTACAAAAACAGGCAGTGGGCCAGTTTTGGCCCATAGCCATAGTTTGCCAAGCCCTGTCTGAAACATTATTGCTAGTGCAAAGCACTCACTGTCTAGCCTTTTTCTTGCTCACAAACTCTTCTCATAAAACCAGTTACTGAAATCAGTCCAGTAGAAGTCAATTTAAAATCGTTATTTTGGTAGGTTGTAGACTTCTCTGCTCCAGAATGTGTTCAAGACATAAAACAGCAGCCTTCTCCAGCGATGAAGTTAACCAAATGCCAAGGAATCATGTTTTTCTTGGGGAAGGAAAATGTACTGTTTAGATATGATGGATTGCTAATCATGTTCTTATTAGAAATATCACCGATAAATTGAAAAATGAGAAGAAAATAGGGCCACACTAATAATTTTTTAATAAGGCATCAAAACATCTAATGAAAGATTTTCAAACAGTTATTTGGCTGATATGTTATGGGATAAAAAACTTTGGTACTTTTCCAATTGGGTGCAATTTTAAATATAAAAATATGTGGCATCATGTAGCTCAGAAGTTGGCAAACTTTGGCTCACAGACCAAATCTAGCCCTCACTTGTTTTTGTAAATAAGGTTTTACTGGAACCTGGCCATGTCCATTTGAGTACAAATTGTCTTTGGCTTCTTTCATGATGCAAAGGCAGAGTTAAGTTGTTGCAACAGAGTCCGCAAAGCCTAAAATATTTACCATCTAGCCCTTTACCAAAAAAGTTTGCCTTGCCTGCAATGTGGATGAAATTACAAAAGTTTATCTGGTTTACTTTTTGTTAACATGTTTTCTTCATGGAGGAGAGAATATTATTTGTTTAACCTCCTAAACATGCTTTTAGGATAAAGAGAGGTAAGTCCATACTGCAGGCCGAAGTCACACTACCGAATAAAAATCCCAGTGATAGCAAGCCAACCAAATGTTCCTTAGGTTGGGGTTACCATCTCTATGATAGTAGACCTCATGGATCTGTTTAGAAAGGCCTGCTTCGACGGTCCAGCACTCCTCGGAAATGTATCCCCGAGGTGTCTGCATCTTCATTAATGAACGTTCTTGATGCCCACAGCTCCCAACCCTCCCACAATTAGAGAAGAGCTCTGCACAGCTTCCTATGACACCATCACTGTTCATTGGACCTCCGATGACGAATTCAGTGTGGTGTCCTATGAGCTCCAGTATACCATATTCACCGGACAAGCCAATGTTGTTAGTGAGTATTGCATGCCTTATCGATTTCTCTATCTGGTGACTGTTTTCAGATAGATTGCTTTTCTGAATTTAAACATCAAGGGAAGACAAGGGAGGAAAGAATGCATAACATTTATTGACTTGTCTTTCCTAACCAAGAACATGATAGTACTCACTTGTACTATACTAGTAAAAATAACTGGCCAAATCATGATGAAAATGAATGATCTCTAGCAAACTACATAGATGAATCTTACAAACATATTGTTAATGGAAAAAAAGCAAGAAACAAAAAAAAAGTATGCAGTCCATTTATACACGCATAACTTGAAGGTAAAAATAAACTGTTTCATTTAGAGATGTATACATAGGTTTAAGAACTATAAGTAAAATTCAGGATGATGGCTACTTCTGAGATGGGAGGGGCGTGGCAATACTGGGGAAGAAATATGGGGGTCCGTGGGGTTAACACTTTTTGGGTGGGATGTACATGGTTTAGTCATCATATCATCCATTGAATTTTATGTATTTTTCTGAGTGTTATTTCACAATTTAAAAAAAAAGGAGTTAATAAAATGAATAGCCAAAGAACACCAAATACCTTGTCCCATTTAGAGGAGAGCAGGGCGATCATTGGCGATGTTAGTAATTGCCCTCCACCTGGGAAGAATTTCAGGCCTTATTTGAAAGAGAGAATCCCCTCTGTCCTGGAACTCATGGGCTATTTAGTATCTGGGATGATTTGATGGTCTCGAGCAACAGCAGTAGCTGGCCAGATTGATGATAACAGAGGAAGCGCTCCTCCCCACCCACGGAGTTACTTCCGTTGAGTTGAGTAAATGGCAAAGGACCAGATGAAATGGCTTGTCAAGGGAGCAAGTTTGAAACGTGTTTAGCAAATAAATAGAATATGTCAAAGTAGGACGGAATAGCAGTCACTTCTCAACAAGGAAACGTTTTAAATAAATCCATATTAACTTCATGTGCTCTTACTGTATCTCTTAACTACACTGTTCTTTCCTGGCACAAGTAAATCTGAGGCACTCGATGCTTAAAACAGAGGTATCGTTTAGGATTAATTTAAAAGAGAGATGCAGAAAGACACGCTTCTAAGTGACTAAAGTATGAATGACCCATACCAACAAATGGTTTCCACTGCCTTTCTTATATTTCTCTTTCCCAACTTGTCCTCTTCAACCCTCTGCCCTTCTACTCCCTAATTGGCCTGCCCGGGAAGCTTTTATTAAAATCTTACATTTTCCGAGAATGTATAATTTTGGAGTGAAAGGGGGAGATCATGAAACACTGAAAAGAGCTTTGGCAAGCTATTTGAGTAGGTAGGAAATATGGAGAGGGCAGAGATGGTGGGTCAACAAAAAGTTCTTGGGAGCAGTGATGGTTAAAGTAAGTCTTGAAAGAAAGTGGGTAAATATCGGCGAGTTAAGGGGATATCAGACAGCTACGTCATCAGAAGCAAACCTAGAGAGACATAAAATGGTAGGGCATATTGGGAGATCTCATCTAATTAATCCTGACTAGAGAGACGAATGAAGACAGTGAGAAATGAACATAGAGAAATACAAGCGGGGTCAAACCCCTACAGGTCTGATTCAAGAAAGTGCATGTTCTTACTCATCATTCGTTTAATCCTAACCCACAGATGAGCAAGGGCTATCCAGGCCACACCATGTTTGGATTTTTACCCTATGGACTTAGGAGTCGTGCATAGCAGTAGTGTGATCAGATGTACAATTAGAAGCTGACTCAGGCAGCACTGTGGAGGATGGAGTGGAACAGAGCAAGACTAGAAGCAGAGACATGAATTAGGGGATTCATAGGAATTCACGGAGGCAGAGATAGCCAGGACCTGCAAATAAATGGCACTAGCGATGGAGAAGGAAAGGAGAAGATAATTTCAGAAAGACTTGTAGCTCCAGTCCATATTCCCAGGAAACATCATTACTGTCCTGAAACATCATTACATTACTGAAATGCTTTTGGGAGCAAGTCTGAGAAGCACTGGTTTTGCAGTGGTTAGGCATCATTTTGCTGTCCTTCCTGGATTTTGGATTCTTCTGGTATTAGTCCTCTTTCCCAGTTCTACATGCCCTGCTACAAATCATGGAGGAATACTAACTGTCTAAAATCTTCCATTTCAGTAAGTAATGCACAAACGCTATATAACAATATATAAAATGTATATACAGTGAAAATTGGATGTTTTTCACTCTACCAGCCACCACGGTTCCAGAGTTATGCACTATACCAGACACATTTCTCATTCATCTTTCCTGAGATAGTCTGTTTATAGACTACGATATACATACACTCACACATACACACACAGAGACATATTTTTAGGAACACGAAAGTAGCATGCTATACACAGTTGTTCACATTGCTTTTTTTCACTAAATATTATACTGATAGACCATTCTATTCCAGCACAAATAAAGAACTGCTTCACTTCTTTTTGAGGCAGCATAGTACCCTAATTTATTTATCACATATTCTATTGATGTATATTTACTTTGTTTCCAATCTTTTGCCCTTATAAGCAATACCTCAGTGAATATCCTTGAATATCTCTCCTTTCATATAATACATGGGGAATTATATCTGCAAATCGATCTCTTGAGATGGAATTGTCTGAACAAAGATTATTTGCACTTTAATTTTGGTTGACATTGCCAAATTGCCCTTCAGAGAGGTGACATATGATTTTTTAAAACTTATGTTTCCAGCTGTATGAGCTTATTCTATTTTATAGATCTAGGATACATATACCATAAACTTAACATGAAATTAAAGTATAGTAAGATTTTCAACCTTCAATTATGCTTCACCACGAACCTGAAATACAAATTACTCAATAATCACTAATATGATATTAAATAGTCACTCCTTCATTTAAAATTCTCAGTCGGAGGCAATTTTTCCCCTGGGGAACATTTGACAATGTCTTGAGATATTTCTGGGTCTCAAAACCTGGGGGAGGAGCTACTAGCATCTAGTTCGTAGAGACTAGGGATGATAGGAAATATCCCACAAAGCACGAGAACATCACCCACACACAAGACAAAGAATTATCTGGCCCAAAATGTCAGTAGTGCTGAGGTGGAGAAACCCTGATTTAAAGCAAGGTGAACAAATAGCATTTACATAATTGCATTCTAAATACTTAGAATGTAATTGAACACACTAACCCACATACTATTAATACTATACAGCATAGAAGGGAAAACAGCAAAAAGAAGCAAATGTAATTCATTTCTTTTTGCTCCACTTAAAGAATTATTTACTCAGTGTTATGGTATGGACATTACTACCACACTGGGTAATCTGAACCAGAGATTGTATCAAACATTCATTTGAAAAAGATGAAATTCAAAAGATGATCAGAAATTCCAAGGCAATCAGAGAAAATTGGAGTACAAAGGTTTGAGAAGAGCAGGTAGAAAATGGAGAGATGATTCCTTGCAGAAAGTGAATTGGGATCAACAAACATTGTGTCAGACTCAAAACACAGAAGGTTCTCTGAAAACACACAGAGTATTGAAAGAAGCAACATCTGTTGCTGAGTGAATAATGTAACTAGAAAAAGAAACATTTGGAGTCACTTTATAGCTAAAGGATGCTTCTTGGCCCACTTGAGGAATGTTATATTTGTCTGAAATTATTTTTGCTTGATCTAGGAAAAATTATATCAGCTTTCTATTGCCATGTAAAAATGTTTCCAAAACTTAGCAGCTTAAAACAATACCCATTTATTATTTCACAGTTTCCATAGGTCAGGATTCTGGGCACAGTTTAACTGGGTCCTCTTCTTAGGGTCCATAAGGCTGAAGGCAATGTGTCGACTGGGCCGCATTCGCATATGGAGGTCCAATTAAGGAAGAGTCCATTTCCTAGCTCCCTCAGGTTGTTGTCAGAATTAATTCCATTATAGTTGTAGAATTCATGGATGCTTGTTTCTTTAAAGCCAGAAAGGAGAAAGAGAGAGAGGGACAGAGACAGAGAGAGAGACAGACAGACAGACAGACAGAGAGACAGAGACTTTGCTACTTCCAGTATTTCACCTCTAAAGCCTCCTTTAAAGGAATCGCCTGATTAAGTCATACCCACCCAGAATGATATTCCTTTTGATTAACTCAAAGTCAGCTGAATAGGGATCTTAGTTACACCTGCAAACTCTCTTCATCTTTGCCATATAATGTAATATCACAGAATGGTAAAGGTGATAAGACCTTTGTCTTTTGCCATATTCCGTTCATTAGAAGCAGGTCACAGGTCCTGTCTACACTCAAGGAGAGAGGATTACACTAAGTTATGAATAGTATGGAGTAGAAATCACAGGGGCCACCCAAGTGTGCATCCACCACATATGGTTATATCTCTCCTGAAATTTCTTGAGTCAAATTATCATGGCATTTGGACCTGGACTGATGGGCCTTGTATCAGTTGACTTTTGCTAAACAACTACGGAACCTAAGTAGTAGAGAACAATAAACGTTTATGGCTTGTGCATCTGGAACCAGCTGGGGTTCAGCTGGGGGTTCCTGCAGATCTTGGTTAGGCTCCCCCACACGTCAGGCTGATACTTGGGGCCACCCAACTGCTGTATAGCTCTCTCCTGCAATAGCTCAAGCATCATGTTTACATGTTAGCTGACATGCTATTGGCCAAGCAACCCCTGTGGGTAAGCCCAGAGTCAGAACAAGAGAGCCTACAAGGTTACATGGCAGAGGGAGTGGATACAGGGAGGAGTAAGGAAGTGGAGCCAGAAGGCCATCTACTCTAGAACCCTAACTCAATACCAGTTCTTCACTCCATCCCCAAAACTAAAGGAAGGTATCTGTTGCTTAAAACTTAGAGTTTCTCAGGCGGCTAAATGTAACTAACTTGATTTCCATGCTGTTGGCATGGAAAATAATACCAAAACAAGATGCATAAATGGAATAAATGAGGAAAGGCCGTGCCTACAGCAATCCAACAATAGCAACACCCCTGAGCATCATGAACTCAGAGCTTTATACTGGGTGATTCCAGAGAAGGTATTTCGTTCTCAGAAAACAGTTGCTGCAAGAAAAATAAGTGCAAAAGGCTTCATAAAGATTACGGATCTGCTTTATTGAATGCACGGATACCAGAAAGGCTGTTCTCTCAGGACAGATAGAAAGCTGTGAAACTTCAGGTGCTCATCTAACTGGGGTGCTCTCGTCCGCTTGCTAGTACCGGGATTTGTTCATTTCTTTAATGTCCATCAAACCAATGTAATAATGACCTGATGCCTACAGGATCAAATTACAACAAAGAATTTAAAGGAAAAGGTTAACTGAAACGCAAGCATTTTCCAAGTATTTTTTTTTCTTAAATATCATACGAATTTGTAGCCACTGAGAGAGACCTGAATTTGAATCCCAACTTTGGACCTCACTAGCTCTATAATTTGGGGCGAATTATCTAACATCGTCTGAATCTGTATTCTCATCTGTAAGAAGAGGTAATGTTTTAACCTCACATGGTTAAGGCCTTAGCTCTGTGATCGCCACAGTGGTAGAACATAGATATTCCAAGTTACTACTCCTACAAAAATATAGACTGTACTCACCCATCGTTGCATTTTTTAAAGGCTGATATTTTTTGTCATAAAGGTCAATCGTGTAATTTGCCAGGGTTATCTACATAGCATTTTACACAATCTTCATGACAGAGGCTTCCTTGAATGTTGTTTGTCCATCTTTCCTACCATTTGGAGGAATATCCTTTGCAGATCTTATATTGAATGACAAGATGTAGTGGTAAAATTCTACTGCAAATTAGAAGATATAATGCTCAAAAACGGGCTCAGTCCTTATGCCACTAGGAAATCTACTGTCTCTAGTTCATGGTTCCTTCACTTGTCATAATAAATTCTAGTTAATTGCCCTCAACTGACTTTAGTGAAGGAGAATTACATAATATCTACGGAGCTTTGTAATCTTGTAAAAAGGTTCCCACTAATCAAATTCATACATTCATATGCAAAATTAATGACATTACAAATTTGTTATTTTCCATTTTTATTAATAGACTCGTGATTACAGATGTTAATGAATTTCTCATTAACAAATAGATGTGTATTTAATTGTACAGCGCTTTCTCTTTTTTTCCAAAACTCCTTTTAATGCGTCATTTAAAATCTGAAATTGGGGACTTTTCCCAGCAGCCTATTTTTATTAGTAGTAAAAGTCAAAAGATTTCATTTCTTCAAGCCTTCATGGCAAAGAAGTTATCTGTATTTAATTTATTTTAGTCATTCTGAAAACATTCGTGAAAGGTATTAAACATATACTTTTTATAGAGAAGAAGGAAAAGAATGTTCACTGCTGATCTCTGCAATCTGTTAGACAAAGGATGTTAGAAGCTGGTGTGCAGCCTCTCAGAAGGGTGTCCATGTTACATAATGTTTCATACATCATGTTTTACAGCAAGATGGCAGTTGTTATACAAGGCTGTAATCCCAAATGTAATTAGGATCTTGTAATCCTAATGGCTTTATGTAGGGAAGTGCTTCTGACCCATCGTGAATGAGAAAAAAACTATACAAAATTAAAAACCTCACTTAAGTTTCATTATGGACTAATTATCTTCCAAGTTCCATTGTTGTTTTAATACTTTGAGCTGGATTAGGAGAAGGTGAATGTTGGACTACCCTAAAAGATGATTGAAAATGAATTTGGAGAAAAGTGAAGTTTCAGTCAAGATAGTTAGTGGGTGTTTCATAAAGAGATGAATAAAACCTGGTCAATAGTCCTGACACAGTGGGATATCGAGGCAGAAAAGTCTGTACTTGGCGCCATATGCAAGAAGTTAAGTGGTGCTGGCGTAAGACCAACACTAGCAACGCAATAATGGTGTACTCCAAGGCACCCCACTTACTCCAGCCCCCAAAAGAAAATGGTCAATGTCGCTTTCTTGGCATTTTTAATCAACTTCTCAATTATTGTCCTGGCAATAGTAATAATATAAAGTTAAGCCTAAATAGTAATCGTTATTAGTATTCATGAAGATAGATTGTCCCAGTATAAAGCTTTCCAATGGAATTATACTACTTCATAAACATTTTGTTCTTTTAATATTCAAGGAAAAAATTAGCGACCTCTTCAAAATAATCAGGATAGTCAGGGTCCCTTTTTGGTTTGGAAAAAGTTCCTGTAACATTAAGTGTTTTTTGTTGGGTTAAGACCGGATTGTAGGCCAAGTTGTAGTTTGCAGCAAGTCCAGACATCTGCTTTATGATGTTGCTGAAAGCATTCCCCACCATATTAAACCTAGCTTTCGGATCGTACAGTGATGTAAAGTTAATTGAAACATTTTTTACATTTGCTTTCTTTGACCATAATAGTCATTTTACTGTGACATATGCAATTAAACAGGAACAGTGTAAACACAGTGACATTGATAGGATTCTCATTGATTCTACTGAATGCTGCTCTTGTTTTCATTCATGCCTGACTGCTGTTGACAAAGGTCTAGGAATATGAATGGATTATCCTAGGCACTAGAAAAGCTCGTTGTTTCTGTTTTATTATTGTAATATTATTAAATATCTAAAAGGAGTTACAGGATTCTTGGGGCTCAGCGTTCAAAATGACCCTTTCTTTAGTTTGCATCAAAATCTGCCTTTTGGCTGTCACACTATCTAGAAGCATTGAGTTTATCACAGCTATGTTCAAGGAGAAGGTAAGGTGAGAAATTATCAAAAGCGAAACGTAGTAGAGAGAGTCCCATGTTACTAAACTATTTGTGAATGTTTTCCTCGGTCTCACACAGGTAAGAGTTTGTAGGAAAACATAGAGCTGGGGAAATTGGGGGTGTGGCCGGGGGGTGGATGGTGCCTTAGTTACTGTACTATATCTCCAGACGTGAACACACACAATTTTTTCTGTGAGTCTCACATTATTTCCTTGCTTTGGGCTGGCTTTGTCAAATCTGGCAGTCCTCCTGGGTGAAAATGTTCCCAGGTGGAAACGTAAATAGATGATAGAAAATTCACGAAGCTGAATGTATACAGATATATTTTAAAGACTCACAGAAGTGTGTCTGAAAATACTGTGCATTCGAGATACAAATCATAAGAGGTCAATTTTCACAATTCACAAAATACTTTTTAAGTTCTCAACTGTGAGACCGCTATCAATAATATTTAACTCAAAAGTTGGACAAAGTATTCAGTAGGTTTCAAAGAGAGACATCATGGGGCATGAATACCTTGAAATTCTATGCAAATAAATTTCTGTGGGTTGGTATGGATATGTATATGTGAACTTCTTTCTGCAGAAATGTTTTATTAGATTCTCAAAGAGGTGAGGCCAAAGAAAGAATAAGGGACTGCTTCTTGAGAGTATGGTAAGGTATAAGTTGCCTCAAGATCAAAAGAACTAACACTTTGACTTGCAAATGCACTGAAAGGGAAGGAAGAGGAAGTGAGTTTAGAGGCCCTCCGGAAGTGGAGGGTCTGGCCTCGGCCTCTACCAAGAACCGGGGAAGGAAATTCACCAGAGTCAGGAAACTTTATGACAGCCCAGTCACCAGGGAGCCGGGAAGAAGTTCTATTAGAGTAGAGATTGATGGGTGGGGAGGGGAGAGAGGAGAGTTGGGCCCCATACCAGAGATGTTTTCAGCATCAGCCAGCTGCAAAACAAGATGGGCTTCCTGCATGTTCTTCCAAGCATCATCAGTTCTCAGCCTGCTCCCCAACCCACATCCTGCAGAATGCAGCCAGACTAGCAGCCCCACTCAACTCTGAAATCAGCCACGCAAGGGATGCAGCTGGTCAAAATCCCTATTGTTGCTTTTCTAAGACCCACGCTGGGCCCCGAGCTGCCCATAGGTGCCACTGTCCCAGGTTCTCCTAGGAACATGCCTCTTGAATCGGTTAACTAACGCCACACTAATGCCGGATCACAAACAACACTGATGATCATTTTCTTAGCTCCTCTGTCAGAAGTTGGCTTGGAGTCGGCCAGTCTCTGCTGGCCTTACTCCTGCATTGGCTGGACAGTAGAGCTGTTCCCTGCATCTCTTGACCTATCGGTATGAGCAAGACTATCAGGGGAATGGTCTCCCAACGGCAATGGCAGAGGCACAAGAAGGCAGCAGACGCTCTCAAGGCCTTGTAATGCCTACTCTTGCAACTGCCACATTGTCATTTTGGCGTCATTCTGTTGGCCAGAGCCAGTCACGTGACCATCCAAAGCCATGTGATAAGGGCATATGTTCCATCTCTTTAAAGGGAGCAACTGCCAAGTCACTTAGACCTGGATCCAGGGGTGGGGTGAGGAATTAGAAGCAACGATGCAATCCACTATATCTACGTTGGTTAAGTCAACTCCTCATATATGACTAGAGTCTTTTCAAACCTTCCGTGAATCTTAGAATTGATAAGATCTACAAATGTAATGATCACCATAATGAGAATGAGGGTGGGGGTGTAGGGGGAGGCATCGGTGGGTACCTGCTGCTTTCTTCTCATCCCCTGCAGCACCTAATTACGTATCATGCACATAATCCAAGCTTAAGGTCCTGAACAGAGCCACCTTTACTGCTCCTATGCATACTGAATAGAATTTGCAGGATAATAATCGTAAGCGGTTTTTCCACGTAGAGCACACAATATATAATAAAATACGGGTTGACCTCCTTCTGGAGGCAAGACACTGAGCATTCAAGTTTATGGACTGTGTCCCTAAGAAGTGACGAAGCACTCTACTTATGGTTGAAATAACCTAAAATGATGCCGACATTGCCCCTTGCTTGCGCCAAAGAACTGCACCTTGTCTGGTTTGCCTCGCAGGTCTGTGTAACTCGGCCGATAGCTGGATGATCGTGCCCAACATCAAACAGAACCACTACACCGTGCACGGTCTGCAGAGCGGCACCAAGTACATCTTCGTCGTCAAGGCCATCAACCAGGCAGGCAGCCGCAGCAGTGAGCCCGGGAAGTTGAAGACAAACAGTAAGTGCCGGGAGCTCAGCAGAGCTGACATCTCTCATCTGCTCTCCTTCTAGCGACCTCTGTCCCCCTTTCTTCTCCTTTCCTCTGTCTCGGGCATCGCTGACAGCCTCAAACAAGCAAGTACACAACTGGTGAGGAGTAGTGGATTTTGCATCAGCGATTGCTGGGTTCCAAAACTGACTCTACCCTTTAACGACCGTGAGATCATGAATCTCTCTGCGCTCCAGGCTTTTCATTTTTAAAACAAAACTCCTGGAGGGGTTCTTGTGAGAGTTAGAATATGTATAGGAAGTCTGACACATAGTTGGGGCTCTGTAAATGGCAGATAATATTGTTTTCTGTAAGAGATTAGCAAATTAATAACCTTCGTCGGTTCTTTATTTTACTAGGTCTTTGGTTCTCAGTTGGGAGTGATTCTCCCCCTCCCCTCTCAGGGGACATTTAGCAGTGTCTGGAGACATTTTTGGTTGTCACAACTGAGGTGGATGCTCCTGGCAGCTAGTGGGTGGAGGCCAAGGATGATGAGAAACATCCCATAATACACAAGATACCCCCACAACAAAGAATGATCTGGCTTACGCATACGTCTTATGACATTGTCATCTCTCTCTCTGTCTCTGCTCACATGTGTTTTGTTTTATCCTCTTTTCTCTTTATATCTTTTTGATCTAGAAATATGTTATCTAACATGGTATTTCTTTGCATAAGACCACCCAAGAAAAAAGCAAATTGGAGCATGTCAGTGTGGTGCCTTGTTATAGGGTTGCCGGCCAGTCAACAGGAACAATTCACTGTTTTTCAAAAGGACTCTCATTTAACCCAAATCCTTGATTTCAAATAACTCTGTTTGACTCCTGATATACGTGTTTAAGACACAGGCTTTCAACCATTAAGCTAATTTCTCCTCTCAATGTTTCTGCTGGTAAAGAAAGAAACATTTTTAGAGATTAAGTAGGAAAAAATGAATAAATACATACACTGAGGTTAGTTCTGTAGAATATATCTTTAAGACGTCATGACTTTGGAAAATCTGATTCTGAAAATATGTTGTTTTTCACGTTAAAATAAACAGTCCTTTTTCTCCTCCCTTTTTTGTTTTATAAACTTGTTTCCAGGCCAACCATTTAAACTGGACCCCAAATCTGCACATCGAAAGCTGAAGGTGTCCCACGATAACTTGACAGTAGAACGTGACGAGTCATCGTCCAAAAAGAGTCACACACCTGAACGCTTCACCAGCCAAGGGAGCTACGGCGTAGCTGGAAACGTGTTCATTGATAGTGGCCGGCATTACTGGGAAGTGGTCATAAGTGGAAGCACATGGTAGGCAATTATATCTATTGTCCTCAGTTATAAAAAGGTACATCTGTTTCTGTACTTTGTCAGAGCCTCAACCCATACCAGGATCCATCTTGAAGAATAATATGCAGAAAAACTTTATCAGTCAGCTGTTGCTACAGTAATGCTGCATAACAAACACCTCGAAACTCAGTGGCCTCAAACGACAGTCATTTATTATTGTACACTAACGCCCACATCTGTGGGTCAACCGATCAAGGCGAATCTCTACTAGGCTTTGCTTTAAGCTGTAGGTTGGATCTAGGTCTGTTCTGTATGTCTCTTCATCCTCTTTGGATATGTGGGCTACCCAGGCCATGTCCTTCTCAAGAAGCCCAAGAGTGTGAGCGCAACTACGCAAGCGTACTTCCAGCTTCTGCTTGCATCACGTCTACTAACTTCTCATTGGCCAGTCACATGGCCAAGCCCAAAGGCAGTGGCGCAAGGAAGTATATTCTTCTCATGGAGGTGAAAGGAAGGAGTGAATATTCATTTGCCAAGCAATTATCTAATCTACCATTCCACCAATAAGAAAAATAACTTGTTTTAAGTCCATCCACTTTTTATTTAGGGCCAGAATTGCAGCTAAGATGACCGAGTGTCCTGGTCTCTGGGAGAGCCAGTATGCCGACACTGCTCTTTCATGTCTTAAAACACGAGTCAGCAGACTACAGTGCTTGGGCCAAACCTGGCTGGCTGCCTGTTTTTTGTAAATAAAGGTTTATGGGAATATAGCGATGCCCATTCTTTTCCATATTGTCGATAGCTACCTTTGAGCCACGCAGCACAGCTGAGCGGTTAAGATGCAATCCAATGGTCCACAAAGCCAAGGTATTAATTCTCTGGCCCTTTGCAGAAAAAGTTTGCCAATATCTATTCTAAAACATTACTCTTCATCATTTAAAAAAATGAATTTCCGTTACCTTGTATGTTTTGTGATTCTAGACCGGGCCAGTTGGTGCAAATGGCTGAGAGCTAAGGGCTGAAGTGAAGCAGTGATCACAGACTGAGAATCATTTCAATAGGTCTGGTAGATCCAGTCCAGTGACTTTAGCCCAGTGAGTTCTCTAAGCCTAAGGGCGAAGGTCAGGGTGCATTCTGCATTGGAATTAAGTTTACCTCACCAAGTTAACCTGCCAAAGCTGACCTTGCCTGTTCCACAGCCACAGACTGTACCCCTTACTCTGGCCGGCTGTATCACAAATACCTGCTTGCTGTTGTTCGAAAAGGGAGCTATTTTGTTTTTATTTAACCAGCCCTCAACCAGCCACAACTATGTGCCAGGCACTGGTCTAAGCATTTTACAAATGTTAACGCATTTATTCATCCTGAGAACCCTGTAGAGGGAGGTGCTAGTATCCCATTTTACAGATGGGATGACTGGAGCACACACCCAAGGACACAAGGTCACAGAGTTCATAGGTAGCATAGTTAGGAGGTCTGCAATCAGGGTGCAAGCTCTTAACCGAGAGTCTACAAACCTTGTCTGCACAGGGCCAGAAAGCCAATATTTCTGCTTTTGCAGGCCAGGTGATTTTCATTGCAACTACTCAACTCTACTTGTAATGAGAAAACAGCTTTAGACCATACATCCATGAGTGGGTGTGGCCGTGCATCAGTAAAACTTCATTTATAAAAATAAGCAGAGGACTAGATTTGGTTGTAGTTTGTTGATCCCTGCTCTTAACCACCATGCTCTATTTTCAAAACTTTATAGTTATTCCTTAGGGCTTACAGTGGTGTACTTCGTGGGTGATAGCTTAATCCTTGCTTTAAAAAACTTTAAAACTGCATGATCTGAAAATGACGAGTATGATAACAGTGTTGTCTTTGACATAAGGATGCTAAAACACTTTGTATTTATTAAAAAACCTTTCAATTCAATTTTAGGTAAGTAATGCATTGCATCTAAGTCCTTTGTAGTATTGGTTGGTAGAAATCAACTGAAATCTGAAGTGAAATCACAAGCTTGGCTGTCTCATTTTTCCCAACAGTGGTACCTATAGTAGCCAACCAAGTAAGCTTTGTTCTATTGTGATCCTCACAATTCTCTTTGCCCGGAACCTTTTCCTGTTCCAACGTCCTGCCAGAGGATGGAGAACAAATCCTTCCTCCCCACTCAGCTCTGGGCCAGACTGGTATTTACAGTTTTTAGCTACACTGAGGCAAGATAAAAGCCCAAAAGAAAATACAATGAATTTTTACAGGTGCAAAAGAACAAACATTTCTAGTTAATTAACGTGCTGTATTAATCTGGGATGGAATCCAGTGTCTAAATAATTACAACCCCATTAATAATTATTTATGATAAATGATACCTGATCATTATGATCTCATTCCCATTGATGAATGGTACAGGAAATTCTACCAGGCTACCTCTGTTATATAAACACAGATCAGCATTACCTTGAAAATACCCTCCAGATGTCAAAACCAACTCATGGGGTGGGGGGGAGAATAATTTAAAATTCATCGCCACACTTTGGCTTTTTACAAACCTGATTGTGTCAATTTCAGAAAAATTCTCATGTAGAACGTAGTTTAACATTTCCTGGGAGGTGTTACCGAGGAAGGGGTGACCCCTATGATCAAATGCCTGTGACGTCTTGATCTGCAATAGCTAATGACAACATCTATTTTCTCATGAAATATAGCTTCGGCTTTAACATGTATGATATGATGCATGCAATGGGGCAGGTTAACATTGTTCTGAGAAACATCATTTTTATACTTTTTTAATTCTCCCAGTCTCATCGCGTAACTTAATGGAACATTACCTTCTGCCTGCACCTTTCAAGTTCAATAGAAATATGTGCATAGTTTTACAGATTGATGATAATATAATGGTATTTTCTTTTGCTTAATGGGCTATACACATAGTTATTTTCTTACTCTCTAATGCCGTTAATGTGCACTGGGTGTTTTATGAAATGGTGTTAACTAAACATGGGTTCACCCAAAGATCACTAGGGCAGAAGTCAAGGGGAAGGGGGCAAGATCCTGGATTTTGCTCCTAATTTTAACCTTCTCTATGTTTTCCCATTTGCTGAATAAAGTCAGTCATATCTGCAGCAGCTACTTCGTAGGGGTTTCAGTTAAAGTTCAAACGAGAAATAAAATTCTTTAATAAAAATGGTGTGTAGCAATAAGAAGGAAACCATACAGACATACAGCTATTTTGTGATGCAAATGCAGGTTCCAAATTATCTGAAAAATGGAAATGGTGTCTGTCAAGCCACAGAGAAGGTCTGTGGGGAAGATACTTAAAATTGAAAAAAAAAAAACAAAAACCTTTCCAAAGTGTATCAGTTAGGGTTTGGCTTTAAAACCGAAGATATTGTAGGTACTCCAAGGATGAGGAGAACCAGAGCCTTACTGGAGCCCAGGAAGCACTGGGGGCACAAATCAGGAAGCCTGCTGCTCCAGTCCGTGAAGCCTGCACGAGCTGTGGGTGCTGGATGCCCATAGCCCAGAGGCCACTGTGCCCAGCAGCTCACTCAGAAGCTTCCGCAAACCTCACCTCTGCTGTCTGCTGTCTACTGACTGGAAAAGAGTGTTTCCCTTCCCCTTAGAACTTCTAGATCTTGTGTGAGGGCTTCACAATGGCAGAACCTGAATCAGAATCCTAATGGAAAGAAGATTCTGGAAAATGCAGCCCTAGATTCTCCTTGTGATGTAGGGCAGGATTTATGAGAGGGAAGAGAGGAGGCTGAATCGATGGCAGAGGGGTTGGCACACTGAGCTTAATGGATTACCAATTCCATTCTTTTTTTTTTAATTCAATGATGGCCTGTTATATTCATTTTTTTTTAACATACCACTCTTAACGTGATTATATTAAAAACCCAGCCCATGATTTTTTAAAAGAATCTCATTTTATCAAAGACCAATGAAGTTTTTATCTCTGCATCGAGTAAGGTACCGTACGTCAATATCTAGTTTGACTGGTTTCTCCTATAACATATTAAAAGGTGAACTCCGAAGTGTTTGCTGTTTATTAAGAACAATGGGTTTTGCTTATCTAAATAAATGTGAAATACTACAAATATTATGGAGGCATATCTCAGTGAGGTCAAAAGAGATTAAGAAGCTTAGAACACTGTAAAGAATGCTTAACATTTTTTTTTTGAGCCCTGAGAGAACATTTAGAATAACCAGGATATCCATCTGCTCAAAGGCATTGAGAATTTTTTAAAGTGCAGTAGGAAATATAATCCAGAAGGCGTCTTGGCAGTGATAAATTACACAATTTCTGGTAAGGGAAAGCATTAGAGAGTGTTGCTTGTGGCCTTTTAAATCATCGTAGGTTTAAATTTTGATTGTCTTATTTATTAGTAATGTGTCCTTGGGCAAAAATAATAAAATAACAGGTACCGAATATTCCATGCCAGCCCTCGTTGCCCGGGACTTTACATGTATTCTTTCTTTTACTCCTCAAAATAACCCACAGACATGGAGACTGTCATCGTCCCTGTGCTACAGATGAGAAAACTCAGGCTGGGAGATGACCAGGAACTTACCGTCATAAATGAAAATTATTCTCCACGCTTGCCTTTTTGCAAAGTGCAGTTGAAGTTGTGGAAAATGACAGACGTGGCATCCGTTAAAAAAAATTCAAAGAAGGTCAAAAGGAAAGGTCTAGGCTGATGCTGTTCACGTAGGCATGGGCCCCATGCAGCTATTTAAATACTTGAACTTCGTTAACATTAAATACATTTAAAATTCAGTTTCTCATTGTCGGCAGCCACAGTTCAGGTGCCTAGTGGCCGCACGTGGCTCGTGGCTCCCGTATTGAACGGAGGAGAACACTGCAGGAAGTTCTATTGGACAGCGCCACTAGGTCTAGAGAATTCATGGTGTGGGTCTCCGTGAGGATCAAAAAGAAAGGCAGCGAAACACAAAGTTCGTATCCTCTTGTGATGTCTGAGCTGAAAACAGGAATGCGGGTAAACACAAGGGCCCCTTTCCGCCCACTATATGTTTAGGAGGGAAGAAGATGAGGAACACATGTGGCAGGGCTCTTGCCAAGCTTTCACTGAAGGAGAATGAACAGGGACAACAGGGGGATCGCGTTCTCATGACCCCTGAGGACCAGGGAAAGGATTTCACGTACATATGCAACGTGTTCATTGTTTTCGTCGTGGTGTTTTTCTTTCTGCAGGTATGCCATTGGCCTTGCATACAAATCGGCCCCGAAGCACGAGTGGATTGGGAAGAACTCTGCTTCCTGGGCGCTGTGCCGCTGTCACAATAACTGGGTGGTGAGACACAACAGCAAGGAAATCCCCATCGAGCCAGCCCCCCACCTTCGGCGCGTCGGCATCCTGCTGGACTATGATAACGGCTCCGTCGCTTTCTACGATGCTTTGAACTCCATCCACCTCTACACCTTCGACATCACATTCTCGCAGCCTGTGTGCCCCACCTTCACCGTGTGGAACAAATGTTTGACCATTATAACTGGTCTGCCCATCCCAGACCACCTGGACTGCACAGAGCAGCTGCCGTGAACACCTAACCGCATGGAACTGCTTTCCGGGGAATAGAAAGGGTCGTGGCCATCATTTAAGGGACAGAGAAAGCACGAGCTTCCAGAGCGTGATTAAATCTCTCCAAAAGGTGTCCAGAAATCAGCTAAGATAGGACTCAAAACAGGTGATTCCCCGCTCTCCCTCTCACTGTGTTTTGTATCAAGTACAGGCTTTAATAATTTCTTCAAATCGTTTTGTATTTGCAGGAAAATTTATAGATTATTTATAAAAGAAACATAACCGGGATTACAACTCTTAGGAATTCTTTGGTTTTGCACAAAAAGAGGCCCATACATTTATCAGCTTCTTACAAACGTTATTTCATCACAGTCTATAACAGCACAAACAAAATATGCAACTACTTTAAAAATAAAACATAGGGACGTAAGTGGGCTTTCTTACTCTGGTTTATTTTGAGGTGTTTTAACTGTGATGTCCACAGGCTTTTATTGGATCAACTAAAATGGAGAGCGAAAGAGAAAGTGGAAAGAATTGATTTTGGAGTTTGGAATCTGCCTTAGCTAAATCTTTAACTACCCTGCGATGGCTGATAGAATACTGTTGGAAAGAAACGTTCTGAAACCTTTGGCCATTTTTTTGCCCTGCTTTTCCCAGGATTAAGGATTCTGGGAGAGCATTCTCTGGGAAAAAGGAGATTACAATTGAAAACAGTCACTTTGAATCCTACTGATTATTCCAAATTTCAAGCTGATTTGTGTTTTATCAGAAGTAGGATTCTATTTCATGATATAAATCCATTTCAAGCTTCCTTTTAATAGTTTCTTTAGGCCTGTGAAATTTCTTTACTATATTTAATAGCTGTTCTCTTCCCCCGCCCCCCACCACCACCCAAATCATTTTTCTTTTGTCACCTGGACTGAGGAAATAAACATTTTCTGTCACAAATAGAAGCACCACTGTGGATTGATTTTGCTCTCCAGGACATCAACCCATGGCCCTGACCACCACTACCATGTCCAAATATAAGTCACCCAAAAAACAATATTTATAAGTTGGTAATGACAAGGGATGTTGCATAAAGTACCATTCACTAGTATACGTGCCTCAAAAGTTGTTATAAACAGACTTTTTATTAAACATCTTGAAAGATGTAGAAATCCCTCTGTATATTCTAGTATAGTTTACCATAGAGTTGTAAGACAAAAAAAAAAAAAATCAAATGCCCTATCCCACGCTGGAACCTGTCAAAAGATCCTGCTAATAGAATATCAGATGAGATTCTTTGCTTGCTGATCTGACACGTCAGAATGGTCCATGCAGTAGGCTTTCTCAAACAGTCCTTGGACCAAGAATCTGGCATTGGTTCTGCCTTGACAAAGGGCATGACAGCTACAAATCATTTCATTTGCTACAATATTTATCTGGGCCACTGGGTCGGCTATTTAGACTGAAAAGACTGGTAGATTTAGGCATTGTTTTTAGTGATTTTGTTTTAACCAAATCAACCGATTGTTACCCCAAAATCTGTCCATAGACATGTTTCAGCATCACATTATGTGATTTCAAGTCTGGACTTCATGGGCAGCTTCCTCTTCGCTGGCAGATGTTCACTTTTTTCGTAACAGATAGAGTCTATATATTTACTATATTATTTATACCCAGATGAATATTTTGATAGCTACTTAGGACAATTTCACATCTAAAAGACGGACACCTCAATGAAAAAAAAAAAAACCTTCTCTGGACACTTAATGTTTTTTCTTTTTTTTTCCATATAAAAACTGTGTGTTCGCTTTCCCTGAATAAACTGAAAGGGTTGTCTTGGTAACTTTTACATACTGTTTTTGGTAGCTGGTTAACGAATATTTTAATGCAATTTGTACATTAACAGGTTTTAAATAAAAGGGTCTAAAACTCAACTTCTGAGTTTTTTAAACCATGGTCTCCAGGTACCAATAAATGCTAGTTTGCCTTATAATGTTCATGTAAAGCATTTATCAGAAGGACAATATTTCCATGAGTATAATGTTTTTCGATATAAAGCAGTTACTACTCAGATTTTCACTGCAAGCTGTTTAGGTTATGTTTTGATTATTTTTATAAGGACAAGAGGGATAATGTTATAATTTTGTTATGCAAGTCTCACTCTTTGCTAACTTAAAAAACATTGTGAATAGTAGCAGTCACTATGTCCATGTTGTCATATTTACAAGAAATATGTATATGGTGACAGACCATATTGTTTACTTTCATTACTGTAATGATGTAGGGAAGATTTCCATGTGGATTTTTGTTTTAAGTCTAAAAAATATATCGCTATATACATTTGCTACAGCACAATTCTTTAAATGGATTGGGGTCATAATATCTTGTTTTTGAAGTCCTTACTTCACAGGGGAGAAAGAGGTGCTGGTGCCAATTAAATTAATACAACAAAATTGATGCAGTGCCAACCAAGGCTGACAGGTCCGACATATGGTTGTGTGAACAGCGCTGTCGCCATCTTGAAATTCTTAATACTTTTTGAACAAAGGGCCTGCGTTTTCATTTCGCAAATTACGCAGCCGGTCCTCATAACAAAACTCAGAAACGTGGTACCTGTCTTCCTGGTGGATACAAATGAAGAAACCCGGATCCAATGTCAAAAATGGCTGGCCGTATAATTCAAGGAGGAATCTAAATGGATGAAGATGATAATCGGCCTGGGTGAAGATTACAGCTTTAAAAGAAAATGACTTCACAAACTGACTGCAAATATTGATGGTTTCCGCTGGAGAAGAGGAAAAGGCCAGATGACAAACAGGCATTTTATTATGGTACTGATATTGACCGTAAACTTCCTGAGGAACTGAACCAGTGCCGTTCAGTGAACGTGGAATCCCATTTTGGCTCCAGGCACATTTGCATCGCCTGCAGAGACACGCATATGTGCTCACATGTGCTTTTGCTGTTGGGAAGTTGATCTATCTGGTCGACCCTTATAAGCTGTTAAAGAGAATGCGAAAACAATAATGGGGGCAGGGGGATGTTTTTAAAACAGTGCTTCTCAACAGGGGGGCAATTTGGCAATGTCTGGAGCCATTTTTGGTTGTCTCAGCTTGGGAGAGGGTGCTATTGGCATCTCATTGGTAGAGACCAGGGATGCTGCTCAACATTCTACAGTACACAGCACAGTCCTCCATGACAAAGAATTGTCCGACCCAAAATATCAGTAGTGCCGTAGATAAGAGACAAACTCTTGTTCTTTGGTGGGGGGAGGGGGGGAGTTTAAAAGTCAATGCCTGACATATCAAAAAGAAAAAAAAAGAAAACGGGACACCAAAACCTTCACTGCAGTGGCTTTTCGCTTTTAAAAATATTGACAAAAATCGTTACAAAATCCGAAATCGGAAAAGCAATCCAAACCAGTGTCAATGGGAGTCCACTGATAAGTGTCACGAAGATCTGGTTGTGATTTGCTGAGTTTGTAAATGAAACGTCGGTTCTCTATGCTGTTCCTTTCACCTGAACAAATTCGATCCCTGGTACTTGAGTCACGCTGCCAAGCCCTCCCTCAGCCCAGACTGTTCTCTCCATTGCTGTTGCTTTCTGGTTCAAAATAAAAATCATTTTTGTGGTTCTGAGGCCCTCTGTCTCTGTCGCCTTTTCGTCATTTTGTGTTTTCACATTCATGATCTCCACAAATATTTATCCAACGTTTGCTGTTCTTTTGTACTGCTTTGCAACATACAATCCATTTTCCTTTCTACCTGAAATGTTCTTGTGTCCACCATGCCACCTCTCCATTCAAAATACAGTTACAAGACTCAAAATAGTACCCGGGGATTTTAAAAACGCAATAAAAGAAAACCTAGATGGGAATGGAGACCTGGAACGAGGATGGCTTGATTTTGAGTCTCGTAGGTGGGGTGTAGGAGAGGAGGAAAGGGAAGATTTGAGCAGAAGAATGAGGGTCTTTACAGTGTGTTCTGGAACAGTCCCAGCAGTGGCTCCAAAAATCTACCCCAACCCCAACCCCAACCCCTGGTTCGAAGGACTTTGTCTTGTTAGCAAGGGAAGCGCTTTCAGTCTAAGTCAGTGCTATGCAGAGTGTACTCACGGGTCTACGGAGTTGGCAGCACCTGACAGCTTGTTGGAAATGCCAGTTGCACAGCCCTAGGCTGGGCCTGCTTGTCGGAATCTCTGGGCATTTTGATGCCAGCAAAAGTTCGTGAAGCGCTGCTCTCTAGGGCTTCATCCAGTGTCATATCCCATATAAAAACACACTTAGAGCCTGAAATATGTTTTCAAGGGAATCTGCTTTCGAGGCAGCGTGATGGAATCCAGTGATTCCTAGAGCCCGTCCTGGAAGTTTGGGGACAAGGTCTAGGGTGTGGCCCAGCACCCTGTGCTTTCTTTCGAAGTGATCCTATGCTGTCTGTAGTCACAGGGCTCAGCACCTTTTCTATAAAGGTTGGATAGTAAGTATCAGGGTTCGAAGGCCATACTGTCTCTGGCAACTACTCAACTCTGGGACCGCAGAGGGCATGAAAATGAATGGGCGAGGCTGCGTTCCAACGAAACTGTATTTACAAAAACATGCATGGGGTTGCATTTGGCTCACGCTATAATTTGCCGACTCCTGCTGTAGCAGAATCAGTACTGGACTGGTGGCCCGAAGCCCTCAGGGCGTGTTCTAACTATCTATCCCCTCACTCACTGAGGACTCAGCCATGTCCGTCCATGGCTCTGGGCCGCAGTGAGCTCTCGAGTCCTTTTAAACTTTGAATTCCATCAATTGTGAAATCACGGAACTCATGGAGAATTAGTTATAGAGTGCTTAAGACAGAGCCACTCAAGGGTTACTAGAAGATTCTTTCATTGGACAAAGTAGGATGTACCAGTTCTAACGATTAGCTTTACCTCCTTCACAATTTTGACTTGAATCGGTCCTTCTCTCAAGTGACGTGTGTGGAAAATATATTTCCTTTAATAACTTTTGAAGTACATTTAATTTCAACTTTTGAAACTGAACAGACACTGCTGTAATTAATCACCTTTCAAAGTCAACTTGAAGGGCACGTCACACACTCCAGAGAGTAGCCTACCATTTTCTTTTAATTTTTAAAAATATAGAAGTAAAATACGAAGAAGGTATTTTCTTTTGATTATAGTAGGAGCATAAAAAAGGGGAGACGTAGACCTTGCCAAATCCTTTCCCCATGAGTATCGTTCTTCCCGTGCAATGCACATTCAAGAATGTCAAATAAAGATGGGGTTGAGGACTTATGGAAAAAGTTTTTTTGTAGTTGTCTTGTTGTAATATGGGTGATTTATGAAAAGCAATTCGGGTCTCCCTTTGGATCTTTTTCAGCCATGTTCTCCTAAGAGAATTATAAAAGCATGATTAAATAGGAAGCATAGCAATTAACAAGCAAATATGTCATGGCCGAAAACCAATTACCAATTAGGGAGAGACACAGAAAAATGATTTAATGAACATTGGTTCTTTTGCGCGGTCTATTTAATTCTCAATGCTCAATTTTTGATTATGGTCATTCAAAGCCGTTCAATTCCAGCAAAGTATTTCAGATAATAAAGCTTATCTCACTCCTTCCCTAATCTTATTCTCCCTTCGGCTTCTGCCCTCACCTCCTCTTTACTGTCAAGCTTCTCATTCCACCTCCCCACACTGCACCAGGCATTCAGTGTCTTCACTCTACTAAAACGATGCTCGCTGATGTCAAAACTAGTGTCCGCATCAGTATCTATTCCCAGCAATGTTTGACCTCATCTTGACATACAGCAGTTTCTGAGATGTCGATCACTTCAGTTCTTTAATCTGTCCCTAGGCAACGACATCCATACCGTTTTGTTCTTCGCCATTTTGCGCAGATGCCTCCCAAGTCAATATCCCTGCGTCTGATTTCTCTGCTGAGCTCAGCCCCACATAGCGACCTGTTTTGGATACCTAAAGGACACGTCAAATTCGATATGTCCAAAACTGCGCTCACGGTCTCTCCCCAGAGCCTTGCCCTATCCGACCGGGTTCATGAATCGAAAACCAGAAGTTAATGTTTGATGTCTTCCTCACCCTCCATGTCCAATCCATTACCAAGCCCTGTTGATTTTATCTCTTAAATATTCCTTTAATAGATTACTCTTCTCCATGTCTACACACGACCTCCAAGTCCAAGCTTTTTTACATCTCTCACTCTACAGCTGACATAACTTGCTAACTGGTTTACCTGTAATTCACACTGCATCTTCTCTTTCACTTTATCCCTCAAAACAATCAAAGTAATGTCTAAATTGGATCATGTCACGCCTTTCTTTTCCCGCTCCCAATGCCCATATGGTGACCTTAAAACTTTCAAAGTTTCCCTCTGCTTTCCATGAAACTCTTCCACAGTGCCATGGCCTTGTCCCTGCTTATTTCCCCAGCATCATCCTGGACCATACTCCCCTTATTCCCTATACTCGGCCTCACCAACTATCATAGCCATGCTCTGATCTGCCACGGATCTCTGCTTGGACTATTCTTCCCTCACTTTCTTACCACTAATATTGCAGATTAATTCTCAAGCATCATGTTCTAGAGAGATTTTCCCGGATCTCCCTGCCCGAACCAAATTCCCCCAATATTGATTCATAAAGCAATCTATGCTTCCTTCATAATGTTCGTCACAGTTGCAATTTAGTATTTGTGTAAATTTTGGTTACCATTTATCTTCCTTTGCCCCCGTGAGATTATAATATTTCTAAAGTCTGAAGGTAGGACTACCTTAGCTCAATATTTGCCACATAGTACGTACTCAATTAATATTTAGAGTAGAATTCTAAAATTTCTCATTCCTTCTCAGTAGCTGGGTTCTCTCCTTGAACTCCCTCTGACACGATCTCCAGTACATACTTTGAATTTCCCAAGCGACAGCAGCCCTCCACTGGAATTTCCCCCAATGCCTATGTTCCCTGCTTGCTCACCTTGATCCTAGGTCATCAGCCGGATTGTCCTGTTACATTTCTTTGTATGGGCTGATTTCTCTGTTTCTTTCATTACTTCAGAATCTGTTCCCATTTCCCAGGTCTGTTGCCTTACAATCTCTTTTAAATGAACCGATCGCATCCACATTTTCCAAAGATACAATGACTCAAGAACAACTCCAGACTCATTTATCCTACACTATATTCAACCTACAGGAAACTCACTTTAAATAACAAAGACATTAGATGAGTTGAAGGTAACAGGATGACAAATGATATAGCATGCAAACACCAATCAAAAGAGAGCTGGAGTAACTATAGTAACAGCAGACAAAGCAGACTTCCAAACAAGGAACATTCCTTGGGAGTTGATTCACTTAATAAATAAAGCGTTTCCCTTCGTACTTACTTTCACCCCCCAAAGGAATGCAGCGAGAGCAGACAGGGCCATTTGAGGAAAACAGGGTCTGGAGTTGGAAAATTTGGAGCAGGCCTATCCAAATGGTGTTGGCTATGCAGCCTTTCGATTGGGTTCACTGCTTTTTGGAGTCTGTTGTTGCCACCAAATAAGTAAGTTACTGTAGATGATGACAAAGATGAATAGTCTTGGTTTAAATCCCCATGTCAGGCTTTGGGGTGAGTCCATCTTGGTAAGGCCAGGTTCAGAAGCAGGAAGAGACACGGAAAAGAATAAACGTCCAGCCGTCACTGTGGAACGATGAGCCCAATCAAGGCTTTTGACCTTTGGCCTCTGGGGAATTGGTCCGCACAGAGAAAGGAGGGGAGGGTGTCCAAATAGCAGCATCTGTTATCCGTTGCCTCTTGCTGCCACCCCCCACCCCCCCGCATTCCAGACCTGGCATTTAGGACATCCTGAAATGGAGAAGGTTGCTGTTGGGGGTATGTTTGAAACCTTCAGATGATTGACTGGAAGCAGAAGTGCAAGGGCGTGAACCCTCAACCCCAGAGTTCACGGGGGCCAACCAGCCTGCAGAGCCCAAGCCCTTGATCCCAGCGGACAGGCAGCTCTCATTAAGCAATGCTGCTGGATGTGGTGGTGCCCAAAACAGAAGGCTGCCTGCTTCCTCCTGAGCTCAGTTTCTAGGCCCTGAAATACACATATTTTTAAACTTTTCAAATCGATCCATCTTTTCAGATGGAATTATTCAAGCAGCAGTAACATTTGTTGAGCAAAGGATGAGAGCACAGTTGTCCTCACATATCTGTGAGTTGTCCTCACATGTTCCCTGAACGAGCCCAGAGAAACCCCACAGGCCTCTCGCTCCCTGCGGGGGACCAGGCCAAACGGATTCTTCTGGACCAACACAGAAGCGCCACTCTGGGCTTCTGTCTGAGTGACTTCAGAGAGCGACCGCACGTGCTGCGGCAGCCGACTTTCAAAGGCAGCTCCTTCTTCCTGAGGTTTTTGCCCTTAAAACCAGGAAGTCCCCAGGGACAGCTCTGCCTGGAGGAAAATCAGCACAGCTCATGACAGCATCCGCGACACAAATGTGAACAATTTTCCTTAATGCTGTCAGACATAGCCATCAAAAACATCACCAGACTGGAATGGCCAGGCTCCATGTCGCAGAAAAATTCCACTGCAGAGAGATTGAAATCATGACACCTTTACAGCTCTGGAAGGAAATGAGATGGCTGAG